AACTCGTCGTATCTTTTTAGTTCACCATCATGTTAAATGGAACTTCTTGTTTCCAGATTCATTACCAACCTTATTGACCATGGCTAGTGGTTTTTGGTCAAAGTAATGATTTGCACCCACAACATTAACATATGTACCAACATCATTATCACTGATATACTTATAATTCTCGGGTGCCACATACCTAATCGGTTTTGGCACTACGTTTACATTTTCAGCGACACTATGATATTGAATTTTACTTGGACTTTTAAAATTACCTATTGGGGTGTTGCTCCCTTTTCCGCTTGATAAATTAGTTGCATATGCCTTTCCTCTATCAACCACTTCGTTACCCCAAACGTCTTCTTCAACCAGTACATAGATAGACACAGATTTATCTCCAACGACATTTTTTACCTTGATCAGTTTTGTAATATCACGATCATCAACAATACCACAATAATAGAGTTGTTCGGGATGTTGATAAGCCAGACTGACTTTTGATTCTTCGGGGAGTCTCATCTTGCATTTCACCAAATAAACAAATTTAGTGAACGTGGTGGTTTCGTAAAATTCAACACCTAAATAAAACATTCTCGGATTGCATCCCGGTGGCCAAACATATGATAGTTGGGAATTAACAAACTCTCATCTTCCATCCGTAATAAGCAATACGAAATACTCGTTACAACTCATTATGTTAATTTTGAGAAAAAAGAAGATGAAGAAGAAAACTTCTCAAATATGAAATAACTCCACAAATATGGAATACTTATCATATATAGTAGGTTCAAAACAATAGTCAACTCTGACAAAAAAGTAGTCAAATTTAATAAGAAATAATCAAATTTAGCAAAAAAATAGTCAACTTTACCCAAAAAATAGTCAAATTTACCAAAAAAAAGTAGTCAACAAATTAAAAAACGTAATATACATTTTAGCAAAAAATAATTTTATCAAAATAATTGTTAAAAAACTATTATATATTTTACAAAAGATATTTTTTAACAAAATAATTGTCAAAAAAACTACTCTAAATTTTTACAAACAATATTTTTTATCAAAATAATTTTCAAAAAACTACTCTCCATTCATTTGAGAAAAAAAAACGTAGACTTTAGCCCATAACCGTAGGCTACGGTTTGGGAAACCGTAGATCGTCGAAAGAAAACCGCAAGTTATAAAATAACCTACGGTTTTAGTGTTCAAAAATTTAAAAATAAAATAAAATTATACTAAACTCGAAACAGTAGACCATTTGACGAAACAGTAGTCTACTCTAATTAACTATTGTTTCGTGGGCTATTTTTAGATAATTACTTATTTTTGACTAAAAATGATTAAGTAATTAGTTAATTAGGCTAGTTCAGTCATTTTCTATTTGAATAATTCGTTTCTATTTGAATAATTCGCATAACTCCCGTGTAAATTTATGAGATATAAGGTCGGACGGTATCATAGCGGGAAAGGGGTGAGGGAAGCTTCCCTCACTCTGGAACACCATCCCTTGGGTGAGGGAAGCAACCCGCGGGAAAGAGGTGGGGGAGGGGGTGCCGCACTCTCTCTCTTCATGTTATTGGACAGTTTTATTATTATTATTATTATTGTTTTTTATCTTTTTTAATATTTATAAAATTATATACCTACTAAAAAATTATAAAAAATATATTAAAATTCATGGTTTTTAATTTCCTACAAAATGAATATAATATATGTATGAAATATATTTTATAAAAAAATAAAAAAAATAGTGAGGGGAGCTTCCCACCCATTCCTTGGGTTTTAGGTGAGGGAAAAAAAAATGAGGGAAAATGTGGTATGGGCCAAAAAAAAATAAGGAAACATCACTCGCATACCCTCCGTCTAACGAAAAATCAAAGATAAAACCAAATAATGATATTAAATACATTAGAAGCAATCAAGCAAAGCTCGTACTTTTTTGCTGTTCCCTTCTGGCTAGTACAACGACCTATAGATGCCTGCCAAACGTGTGCGCCATCCACCTATGAGAACTTATTTTTGCTTTAATTTCTTTTTATCGTTATTCTATTCATTTTATAGTTGGCGCCTATGAGAACTTATTTTTGCTTTAATTTCTTTTTATCGTTATTCTATTCATTTTATAGTTGTAGTACGTTTTCTTTTGGGAATAGAACTAATTAAGGTAATTAACTTTTCAGTTTGTTCACATGTAGCTAACTATTTTTTTTTACACATCTAGGTAACAAATTTTTTGGAAATGTTTACATATGACCATTATGACCTGCTGTAGCAGGTTACATCCGGCTACAGTAGGTCATAATGGTTATATGTGAACACTTTCAACAAGTTCATTACCTAGATGTGTACAAAAAAAATAGTTACCCAAATATGAACAAAACCAAATGTATGAGTAAATTACACGAATGGTCCCTATGGTTTGGGGGAATTTATACGTTTGGTCCCTAACTTATTTTTTTAATTCGGATGGTCCCTACTGTTTATTTTTTTTTGCGCTTATCCTTGTCTTACCTAAAAAGACTATGGTGACCGGTGGGACCCAAATTAACTTTCTCAAATGTGGTTTCAGGTTTACGGTGAGTAGATACATATATGTGGGGTCTATTAATTTTTTTAAACATATAAAAACAAATACATAAATAAGAAATTTAATTAAAATAAATAAATTAATAAGGGCAAAATAGTCTTTTTAGGTAAGACAGGGACTAAGCGCGCAACAAAAATAAACAGTAGGGACCATCCGAGTTAAAAAAAATAAGTTAGGGACCAAACGCACAAATTCTCCCAAACCATAGGGACCATTCATATAATTTACTCTTACTTTTGGTTTGTTCATATTTAGGTAACTATTTTTTTTGTACTAATCTAGGTAACGAACTTGTTGAAAGTGTTCATATATAACCATTATGACCTGCTGTAGCTGGATGTAACCTACTACATCATGTCATAATGGTCATATGTGAACAGTTCCAAAAAGTTTGTTACCTACATGTGTACAAAAAAAAGATAGTTACCTATATGTGAACAACCCGAAAAGTTAATTACCTTAATAAGTCTTATTCCCTTTTCTTTTTGTAAATGACATAAATTGTTCCTGCCTGTATCGTTATTTATTTTTTATTTTTTTGATTTTGGAGGTTAGGGAAAATAAAGGCAAAACTTCCACTTATTGTTAAGTTAAATGGTATATAGAAAAACTATATACATAATTCATTTTACCAGTTATTTCTATGATATATTTAATGTAAATAAGATTGTATATAATTTCACTATACCATTAACATATAAACAATTCATGCAATTTACTCTTTCTTCTTTTGTACAAGATTCCAATGGTTATGAACTAATAATACCTAATTCGTGTTAATTAATTTACAGAAAAATAAGTAATTCAATATTCATTATTGAGCTATATGATGTGCATAGGAGACTAACTTGCTAAAATAAGGAACTATTTACTTGAAGCCGACATTTTCAGATATTTAATGGATATTATTCTTTTTTTTTTTGAAAGTTTATCTTAATTCTACATTGGCTGTCTGTCAAACATTAAAGTTTATAAAAAAGGAAATCAAGTAAAATAATATCAAAATTTAAAGTTTTTAGTTATAAGTTGTTACAACTATAAAAATGCAATCCACCAATATCCTTTCTAGTTCGTACAAGCTCATTAAAGGGTCGAATTGTTGAGTTTATGGGTCAAGGACCTAAGGTGCAATTGTACGAAACCTTTGAGGTCCTTAATAGAATATGGTTTAAAATATATAAGAGGACAAAAAAGGGTACTTTCGTCTTTTTACTAGTATTGAACGGATCATTTTTGAGTCTAAGAGGGACCATACATGATGGAATTGGGAAGCATATGGACCTTTGAAATCATATTTCTAAAATTAGGACCAAATCTGCATATAGATATAAACCGCATAAACCATAGCTGTAATTTACTATATACTTTATTTTACTTTTGAACAATTATCCATTTAAATAGTTTAAAGGTATTTTTTTTAATTCTAATAATATGAACTTTATTTTTCATTTTTATTTTTTTATTAAAAAGGATTCAATGCATGGATAAGCCAATTTTTTATCTCATCCTAAAAGCGAACACACTTGGTTGGGACTTATTGTGCCATGCATAAAATCTTCCTATTAAATTTGGAACACTTGGGAAATCCTATATGTGGGTGGGAGGAGAGGAATCCAACTATGTGTTGTATTCAAAATATTTTATTGAACACTTTTTAATTAATGTATTCCAATTTATATGCTTAATCAATTAGTTACATATTAAAAGAAAAGAACTATTACACGTATTTAAGTTTTAAAAAAAGGAAAACTAATAATATATCAATCAATTTATAAGTGAATTTCTAGTAAGTGAACAATACATCTTTTATCTACTCAAAGTCGGTTTCCAAGTATCTTCCAAATATCATTCACGTATTGGTTTGTTTTATTATATTATTTAATTATTTATTACCACCCAATACGAATGGGCTAGAAGAAAAGAAAAGGAATAGCTCAATAATAGTTGTCATCTATGTTGACAACCCAAAAGCATCCATCTTATACCATCATCTTTTTATGGATTCCAAGCATCATATGTGGTTCCTAACTAATCTAAAATATTTAATGAAAAGACAATAAGACATAAATGTATCTTATATTAGTCAAAGGTTTTTATCTTGTAATTTAACATCTAATACCAATCCTTAATATGCCCAACGTGTATCATGTATATGTAAAGATGATACGTTAACCAATATGGTTCATGGCTTACTTTTAGTAAAAAAGTGGAAAAGAAGTAACAAACGTGTGACGATCAAAGTATTAGCAGATAAGGTCTAGTAAGATATCTTCGAAGTAAAATGACTTATAGGCTATATCAATGTCAATGTCTTTACGTAAATGAGAGTTTTTTTTATATATTTTTTTAAAAATGGATTTTTTTTTTCTAATTATTGTTGGTTATTTTTCTTTATCTATAAATAGGAAGCTAGTCTCCAACCTTAGACACCAACCAAAGCACAAAGCAAAGAGATTTTACGTAGCCATGGCCATCTCCAAGCCTTTTCTTGCTCTTGCTCTTCTCTCTATGATTCTTCTTGTTCAAGCTAATGAATTGGTATTTGATCCACCTTCACTATTATTTTACCTTTCATTTCATTTTTGGTATATACATATGGGATTTCTATCGGAAGACCATTTAATTATATAGTTGTTTAATCATGTCATCTTTAACTAATTTACTGAATTTGCCAACATAAATTGCATGAGTATCTTTTAATTACCTTTTTCTATTTACGGGAAGAAGAAACTCATGCAATTGTTATTAAAGAACATGAATGCTTACAATTGATAATAGAAATGATTTTCAAATACGCATTATGAAACACCATGTTAGCAAGTTCTTAATCTTGTATAAATATAATTCCTATGTATAGCAAGCATAAAGATGGTAACAATAAAATATTTTGGAATAATTGTTTTTGAAAGTTGGGAAAACCATATTGAGGAGTGAAATTATCGTTTGGTGTTCATATGTATATGTTGGATACTTTTATAAATGTTCTTATACATGCTTTTTTATGACACAGGTGAATGAGCTTCACGGAAAAAGTAATATCACTGCTTCCAAAATCAGTAAGTTGGTTTCTTTTAAAAACACATAAAACCAAATTGATATTGTTGAAATTTTCTTGTTTGCTAATTGATGTACATATTTCATGAAAAACACTCGTTTAATTTAGAAACTTCTAGTATGCATAGTTAAATGTGTTTTTGTGAAATCTTTATTCAGATTGTGGAGCAGCATGTAAGGCCAGGTGTCGGTTATCATCAAGGCCGAACTTGTGCCACAGGGCTTGTGGGACTTGTTGTGCTCGTTGTAGCTGTGTGCCACCAGGAACTTCCGGTAACCAAAAGGTCTGCCCTTGTTACTACAACATGACCACCCATGGTGGCAAAAGAAAGTGTCCATGATTCTTCTACTACTTGTGAATTGTGCAACTTTGATGTGATGCCTTCATTACATATGTATTGTATTGTATATTTTTTTTTTCCCATGGATTCTTGTATGGTGAGTGTTATTTATCCATATGTATGATCGATGCTTAATAAGGACAAATCCAGAATAATTGTTTTGTAATAATATTATATTTTTGTGCAATAAAAGTTGTATAATAAATTGAATTTGATGTAAGTACGAGTTGAAAGGTTTTCTTATGGACATAATATGATTTTTGTCAAAAGCTACATACATCTTTATTGTAGTGGTACAGGAAAACGACTTCTTTTTGTTTAAAGTAGCATGTACATGATGTCAATTACGGTTCTACAATTGTGACTATAGTTCTAGGACAAACATATAAAAGGATGTCGACATATGTAAGATTTATAAAGGGTTATCGTTAGAAAATCTCAATATTTCGGCCTAATTTATCGAAAAGTCTCAAAATAGCATCCGGATAAAAGACTCGGACATTTTACTAAATTGATATCCATTAAGTTTGATGGTGATGATTTTTGCTATGCTCCAATTAAAAGGGAAAAGAGAAAGTTCTGATATTGTATAATGGTTCTCTTTAGAAACACATTATTATATTTGAAATGTACATAGTTGTGTTATTATATTGAGTTATCTTAAAAAAAAAAAAGTTTTAAACTCAAAACCAATTATTTATATGTTCCCATCTTAAAGGTACGTAAAGAGAAAATGAAAGAATAGGGTATATATAAACGAGTTGTTTTTTTGATAAGAATTTATATACAATTATATTGGATTATATTTAGAAAAGTCGTAAAATGTTTGACCAAATTAACGGAAAAATTCTTATTTTGTTTTTAACGGAGAAGTATCGATTACCAGTTAAAATATGCGAAATCGTACAAAATGGTTGATTCAAAAATTTTATCCGGTAATCAGTACTTTTCTATTCAAAAAAAAAAAACTTAGGACATTTCCATAATCTATGCTAAAATAATGAAGGACTTTTCTACCGATAATAACCTATTAAAAATGTATTAATTTTTAAAAAGTTTATGGTTGTACCAATTAGGGATAGAACATGGAAGGGGCTAGGGAGGTTTTTTCTGTATTAAATACCTATAATTTCATATCAATAATTACAAATTTGATTTCTTAAGTATCATAACAAACCGGCCCCTGTTGTTATTTATCTACTAAATACCAATAGCGATATAGCTTAAACTTTTAAAAATCAAAACTAACATTGTTTAATTAGAAAACTTATTAGCTTAAACTAACTAATTACTTCAATAAAAATAACAAAAAACCAATTCTTCAGTATTCACAACAATATTAAACCCTAAAATATTGTTGCCGCCGCCAAAAAACGTAAACTCATCAGAGTTTTTGCCTTCTTGGATCGTAGTAGGACCAGATGATTACTGCTAGTTCTTACCAGATTCGAATTCACATCACATTTGAAAGTGATGAATGTAATATTGAATGTGACGAGTTGTTTTGTCAAGAGTATATGACCTAAAGTCAGTTGCACGATGTAAAAATAAAGCAAAGTAAAGTTGTAACCTATAAAACTTTTCATCACACAGTACAACCATTTCTTATTTTCCAAACAATGATTATATATCTTTTATATTAATAATATGATAATAAGTTATATAAATGATCTACTAATATATTATTTATGATCACAATCTATCTCTTTAGTCATTACCGTATGATTTCTTTATAATAAAATAATTATTTTAGATATTTATTAAGTATTAAAAAAGTGATAAAAAATTTACATTTCAGTAGGGGAGATATTATTTGGAAATGTCCAAATCTATTTATTAACTATAATTCGTTATTTTATTTTGTAAGATTACTTTATTATATAATTAGTTTCGTATTTTAATCTCTAGTTGCTTATAAAAAAAATTAAAAGATTATTAATTTATTAGTTATTTGTTATTTGTTAGTTGTTAATTGATTTTGTTAGGTGGTGTATATTCACATAAAGACAATTTAATATTGATGGGTTTTATAAAATAAAAAAAAAAAGTTCTATTGTTTTGATGTTTTGGTTTCGACCCCTAGGGCTCTTGTTCCACCCCATGTATAGCACAAAATCACAAACTTACCATTGGGTTGGAGACACAGGCCCGTAAGTCCGGCTAATTCGGAAGTCTGAAATTTACAGATGGGCTATTCTAAATCCAAAACGGGCTATAATTCAATCTTGAAGCCTTGAAAAATAGGTGGATGAGAATAATGGTATTATAGTTTTTCGACAAATTAATGTCGGATTATTATATATTACCGCTAAAACACAAAGGATATAGTCGATGCAAGATGTCATTTGGTGGCTTTTAGATTAATACAATTGGAAGAGGAGGGAAAATAAGAGCTTATTATTATCATTTATTTGAGTCCAATGTTTCTATAGGCCTAATTTATGTGTTTTTATAGTGTAAAACCAATAAGTTTTATGCGAATAAATTTTCTTACATCGGTTCTTGCTATGAGTCCAGTTTAAAGCCGTCAAACAAAGAAGAAATCATTGTTTTTCGGCAGATACAGATTATTATATGGGTGTTGTTTTAAGCTAATGCTGTAACTACGTTCAATTTTTTCCAATCTCATCCCGGATTTTTTTGTCTTTTGTTTTTTTT